GGGGGGGGGGGGGGGGGGGGGGGGGGGTGGGGGGGGGGGAGCTGTTATTCACAATGCAACATTGACATGTGAAATAATAATAAATTTCATTAGACTGAATTGTTATAAATTATATGGTTTATTATTTATGAAGGACTACCATGACTAATATCACTATTTATTATTAGCGCATAAGGCTTTTTCATGATATTTGAAAGGATGGTAAAGAATTTTGATATTCTTCGCGTTGAGCAGCCGACTTATTTATAAAATTACAAAAGCACTTACTCTTTCATTAAGTCGCAAATTAATGAAGAATTTATTTCAAAAACCTTGAAAGGTCTCTATTTTAAAATATTACGCAAAATACGAGAAACGTAAAATAGATAAAATTAATAATTGTGAACTATAAAGAATCTCAAAGAATCTCTTGAAAGATTAAAGTTGTGATTCTTTATAACTGACCTAATTCAGCTATTATTTCCTACGACACTAATAATCATCTCGAATGATTTTAAAAATTAGTACAAGTGTATTATTAAATTATTTTTGGTGTAGAAATAAGAAAATTATTTTTACAATAATGCAATATCATTAATTTAATCGTATGATTTAATCTGAACATTCTACTTCATCTCGATATAAATGCGTTTTATTTAAATTAAATGTTTTATTTATGTTTTTTAATTATATCGTTAAATCCATGAATGTCAATAATGTCACCCTTGACAAATTTTTAATAATTAATAATCCACTTTAGATAAAAAAAAGGGACTTCGAATTATATAATTATCATAGTTCAGTCTTCACATTATACTTTTTGACATTTCGAAACTTATTACCATTTACCCTTTAAAAAAAAAAAAAAAAAAAAAAAAAGAATAATAAATAACGCAAAAATTTTATTTCATTAATATTACAAAACTCATGGTGAAATTATTAAATTTTTACGTATAATTTTTAAAAATGATTCTCCTTTCAATATGCATGAACTTATTCGTATATTGAAATATACAGAAATAATACGTCATAGAATTTTATTTTATACCATTTTATTACTTAGTCGTATGACAAAATATCAATTATAAGGATACGAATTGTGCAGCCAATGGTTTTATCATACCCATAATACTTATTAAAAAGACATTGTAAAATTGTATTGGCAAATCGATATTAATATAATCCAATGCATGAAACTTTTGAATGTTAATTTTTTTCTTTTTAATAATAATTCGCAATACGTATATCAAAGGTTAAATTGCCTTGAACGAGAGAGGGGCAACACTGTACTCACTGTTCCCTTAACATTCTCCAATTTATAAAGAATTGTTGCCTTACAAAATTGACAATAAATGACTAAATAATTGAAATTAAATAACGCTCGTAATAACATTAATAATTATTATTATTTCATAAATAGCTACAATTGCCGTCGAATAGCTAGGAATGGAGTATAAAGAATTCCAAACATTTCAACTTAAGCATCTCCGATAGCAATTTTATTTTATAAGGCTGTAGACGTCGGAGATAATTGCCTCCTGATGCATCGTGGACCGAACCAGGGATGAGCTTGTAATCCTGTTGGATCTTTTTCATGTCGATGTTACTGCATTGCGAAGCCAAATAGAAAAGAGCAATCGCTGTCCGCTTATAGGACTATGATTAGTTCAATAAGTGAAATTATTGAGGTCCAGTGTTGCCGCATCAACCATTATTGCAATCTTGCTTTTTTACGTTCCACCGATACATTACGAAATAAACACTTTTACTGATATTTATAATCTATGTTATTAATTTATTTATAAATCAATATAAATGAATGTTTTTTTTTCTACTATAATCAACTTGTGCCGGTCAATAAATTAAAAAAATATTAATCACATCTAAGAATGTATTTAACTATTTCTCTCAATTATGTCTCTTCAATTTACATACTTTACTTAACAGCTGCTAATTTCTACTCATTAAAAATGACAATTTAGATAAATATGTTAAGAAGCAGCATTGATGTATCATTGTATACAGCACAATTTCATATAAATAAATAATTTAATGATACAGATATTTTAACAAATATTTCAATATTACATAAATAGCCTATAAACGATGAAAAATTATTAATTCTTCGTATAAATAATTAAAGCGAGTAACAACATTTATTATAATTAATTATAGATTAATTAATATAGACAAATTAATTATAGATTACAATATGCGTATTATAAAAGTAGATAATAAAATTATAAATAAATTTCAAAGATCTTTTTATCAAACGAAATTAACGGAATTACATTTAATTAAAAAACTGTACAATATGAAAATTCCACATTTATTCCTTCCCGAATAAATGCTTTTATATTTAAATTAATTAACACTTTCGAAATTTAAACTTTAATTATCTTCGTAATTATTCAGTTGATATAAAATTTAGTCTTCTCGTATATATAACGATTATCTTAAATATTTTCCAATTAGAAGAATCTTTTTTATTTTATTAACATTACATTTAAGTAATGTGCAAAATTAAATTTATATTATTAATTTTAATTATTATTCATATATAAATTTGTATTTATTCGAGCGGTCTTAAACTTGACAAAAATATTTTTTTACTTATTTCTTTACTAGCGATATGTTGAGAAGGGATCAGCATTATTATTTTCAGTTAAATTTAAAACGTTTATTTAAATAATAAAAGTTTTTTTTTAAAAAAAATTTAATTTTTTTTTTTTTTTTTTTTTTTTTTTTTGATTAATTAACTTTTTCATCTATTGCAGAATCGTTTTTACTTAATTTTATTTTATTCCAAATAAATACATTTATATCAATTATATTCTTTTTAACTTTTTTCTCCGTGAAATTTTGGCATTTGATTCATTAGGCGACATATATAATCCTCGAATGCCCTTATCAATTTAACTAAATTAAAAAAAGTAATATATATATTTATTTCATACTATATAACTTCTAATTGATATTTAATCGAGAGACATAATGAATAATTGACTCAATCTAATTAATATATTATAAAAAAAAAAAGACTATATTTATTTTTTTTTTTTCGAATAGTTTATGACATATTGAAATTATAATGTATGAAATTACTTAGTTCTATTCGTTTGTTTAATTGATCTACTTGAACTAAATGAAATGGCTTAATGAAAAATTGCATAATATAAAGAATAATATATTCATTTTAAAATTATGCCATTAAAGCCTTAATTAGACATTCGTAATACAAAACGCATTGAAAGAAGTAAAATTAGGATAAATCATTGTTCCGTAGTATCTACAAAATAGTATTACAAAACAAATAAATTATATATAATATGACACATAAGACTAATTAAGTATATTTATTTAATTTTTAAATATTTATCAGAGAAAGTGAATTGAATTTCGTATTTTTTAAAAAGAATTTCTCGAATTAATAAAATCTTATTAAAACTAAATATATAGATTGCAATTAAAATTTTTGTACAATTTATATTCCTTCATATTTATCCTTCAATTATTCCTTCATAAATATAAAATTTCTCCATACCTATTATACCGGTAAATATTAAATGTTATTTAAAGCCTATTGAATATCATAATTAAGAAAGTACGCTCTACTTCGCCTAAATAACATTTTTACTTGGGTAGGCACCTTATGGGCACAGACCCGTCAATTTACTTCGTCCTAAGTTTGAGGTACAAGTTAAGCTCTGAAATTATCAACAGTAGTTGAAGAGCTCTTTCTTCCTTCCATACCTCATTCAGTGAACACTCAAACGTTCAATTTGACCTTACAGGTTGAACAGGGTTTAAAACTTTATCGTGCGCACAAACAACAAGCTGCTGTACGGAAATGGCGAGGAGCACTGACGAACATCGGCCGTCGCGAAGATAAATTTGCACTACTTGGCTACTTGTATCAAGCTTACATGGATTGGGGAAAATATAGGTAGGCATACATATTCATCTACATATATAAATGCACGAGTGTATGTTATGTTTAATGGGACTGTGTGCGTTCGTGGGCGCGCGCTCGTTGTAATGTAGTGAATGTTTTGATACTTGAGATGAGAAGTTTGGAGTTGGAGTTGGAGTTGGAGACTCGCTTGTCGATACTTTCTATTATTATCTTCGACAATATTTACCTTTTATTTTCTCTTGTCTCTCGATTTTATAAAAGATTTTAGAAGGCGGCTTTGTAACTTATCAGTTCGAGACACCAAGAGTTCTTTTTATTTCATTTTTATTTTCTTAAATATGACGCTTTTGTATATTATCTTTAAACTTTGACTTCAAATAGTCATTTTCAAGACTGATTTAATATTGGAATAAAAGGTTTTACATGTCATTATAATTATATCTTTGTGTATTACATTATAATCAACAGGAAAGTAAGAAAAAATGAATGCTGCATTTTTCACAATAGTATACGGAATTTGAATAGTAAAATGTGGATTTGTGATTTTATCTATTATATGGCAAATCAATTAATTATTTACCATTGAAATTTTACTAATTTTAACGTGTTCTTATATATTCGGTATTTGTATAGAAATATTGAGAAAACTAATGATTTATACATCTAAAAAAAAAACAAATCAGTTAAATATAATAAATAATCTTAATCATTATTCTCGTGATTGTCAAATAGCATGAAACATAAATAAATACACAATTACAGGGATTCGGTAGTATGTCTCTGTGTGTGTGTGTGTGTGTGTGTGTGTGTGTGTGTGTGTTGTATATATAAACACGTTTCTATCCTGTCTATCAAACATTTGTCATAGAAAATCACTTTTTTAATGAATCAATATTAATTTTTTCTGCAAAACTACATGTTCTTTATAGAGACAGCGTAGATTTTGGACACAGGCAGCTTTGCATTTCAGAAGAGCTGGACTCTCCTAATATGAGGGCCGAAGCATATTTAAATCTGGCTCGAGCACATGAGAAACTTGGTGCTTTGGACAGAGCATTAGGTTTTGCCCGACACAGGTAATAATATATATATATATATATATATATATATATATATATATATATTATTTCATATAATTTTCTTGCTCGACACGTTGCTCACCTACCGATATATTTTATTTAAAGGTTAATGTCTCCCTAACATAATCCCGAATATTGGATGAAAATTATGATTTTGAACTCACGGAATATTAAAAATATTCCTTTATATATATATATATATATTCTTAAGCAGAGATTTTCTAAAATCCTTTTATTATATTCCCGTAGAGTAGCCCTTTATGTACCATTAAGTTTTGTACAAGATTCATAAAATATTTATGAACAAAATATCTTTCTTTTATTACACATCTACTACATTCTTATATGCTGTACTATCTACTTGATTTATATCAAATATTATTTCTAAAAAATTTATACCCCAACAGCGTATATTTGAAAATTTATATATATCTGAGATAATAAATAATATGTTTAGTGACAGTTTTCATCCATTTCACCTATTATTATTTACATTTATACTATTACTTTTGGTTACAAAGATCTTATATATATATATATATATATATATTTCGAATTGCAAATAAATAGCTCACATAATGAATTATGGATACAATTTATTTCATACTCATGCATTATGGGCATCATAAAAGTTCACATTGCAAATCACACATTAATTTTACATAAACATAAAATAAATAATTGAAGTAATAAGAAACGAGTGTATCGATTATGAATAAAAAACACAAAGCATCGTTAATTATTCAATATAATATTCCGAAATAAAAATCGGTATTTAACGTCACCGATACGTACATCGCCATTAAAAGCCGATGTCGATTATTATAAATAAGTAAGGCCAAAATGAATACGCCACTTCCATAAAAATGAATGTTCTTTTAAGTTTACTTTACCGCCTCCCGTGGGGGTGATCTCATTCTTTGCGTTTTTACAGTCTCTACAACGAGTGCGACCAATGTGCCACAGCCGGATTAGTTCATCTGACCGTGGGTAGAGTCCACTTGGAACTTGCTGGCTTTTGCAAGGCCTTGGAAGCTTTTCAAAGAGCTCACAAGATCGCTCATTCCATCCAGGATCCATCCCTCGAGCTTCAGGTTTGTACGTAACCGAACCACACTCGCTTTTATTCCTCTTACATTCTCACGCTCTCACTGACTCGCTACACTCGCTTGCTTGTTTGCGTCGCTGTCTCTTGAATACTCACGAACGAGGTTCGCTAACGCCTCGGACGAGCTGATGATATTTCTTTGAAAGCTCTGCCCCACCTCTCAGGCAGCTGAATTTTTCATTTACCTCCTTAATTCAGAGATAAATAATACGGGGCATACATAAATAATACGATGATTATAATAATAATAATAATAATAATAATAATAATAAGAATAATATACAAGATAAAGTAATAAATCGCGCGCTTTGTAATTCAACTTTTTATTTATAATTTCATGGTAAGCGCAATTCTTTTAGACTCTATACTTTTATATATTGCACATTATGAATTATCCAATGTATATTATTTATTTAATCCAAATGGACAAAATAGACATTTTTACCACTTAAAGCTCAAAGCGTTTTTCTATTCTACGATTACCGAGAGACAATTTCAAAATAAACGGTCATAAAAATGCGATAGAATTTTAAAGGTTATTATGACTGGTAAGAGACATAAACATTTTGAGTTTGACAATTGAATGCTTTCGAGTAAAGATATATTAAATAGAAAAATTATTAATACGTATTAATGAATGATTTATCGAATAACATGAGAAGCAGATTATTTCAGACCGAAATGTACATCAATGACAATTCATTACATACAAGACAAGAAGTATTAGAATAATTTGCTTGGCACTTTCAATATTTTACTACGCTGATTCATTATACTAATATGACACGACTATACTTGCGCATAAATCAATGTTAAATTATATGGATATTGCACAAGTGTCATAGATAATTGTTGTTACAGACGATCGCGGAAAATTATAAAAACATAATATTAACAATCAAGTTGAATAAGCTCCATTTAATCACATAACAATTTACTACATTGGATATTTATCAAATTACAAGCTTTTCAATAATATTTACATTATCGATATTTCTTTTTAAAACAAAATTATATTATTTGTAAGTAATATTTATTTTTTTGCCGAGCACGTTCTACGAAATAATTTTACAATTTTTTATTCGGCACAAAATTACAAACGATGGCATTATTAGAGAAAAAAATCCTTATTAACGCTTTCACCGCCAACTTTATCATAAGAAAGCGATATTTTCATAAGCGACGGCAATTCTTCGCCACATTAATAGTATAAAACGGAACAGAGTTAAGGAAAAATATGAAATAAAAGCGAGCGTCATTTCACAAGCTACAATCTACGCTCGATAAAATTTTATAGTTTGTCAATATCTTCACTTAGCCACATTTTGTACGGTGAAATAAGCAAGGGAAATGTATTAAATTAAGCGACAATAATGCCATTAAACGACGTTTTATACGAGCTGCAGTTTGTCTTGTGCAGGTGTACGTTGGATTGTCGGAACTGTTTTGCCGTCTCCAGGATGCAGACAAAAGCGCCCGATATGCTGCGCGCGCTTACGACCTCTCCAGAAGCCTTCAACTCGGTGACTTAAATTCCCGACATCACAGGGCGGCATTACTACAAATGGCTGCCTCTCTAAGGAAGAAGGGCGAGCTGGGCGATGCTCATGATTACTGCTCGGTATACATCCTGTCAATATCTCAGCGATCCTTCTTAATTTATTAATTCAAAAAAAAAAAAAAAAAAAAAAAAAAAAAAAAAAAAATGACTGTACTCGATTGAAGGTAATGTAATGGGAAAATGCACGTACAAAGGACCGAGATTACTTGGAAATATTATGATACATTATTATCGAGATTATATAATCTTCTATATATATATGATGATGAAAGTTGATTATATATGGAAGGGGAAAGAAAACTCTTAGTGTTTTATTTAAAAAAAAAAAAAAAAAAAAAAAAAAAAAAAAAAAAAAAAAAAAAATTCTATCAAAAACAACAAAATATTCTATTTTTACTGATAAATATAGAATTTATGATGTATATTCCATTAATAATAAATAAAGAATATCGTAGATGTCGATAATCTAATAAACGTATTTACTTTATTTCAAAGTGATTATCATTGTAGCTTCGTTTCATTCATTCTTGACGCTCAACGTGCTATTGCAATATTTTGCTATCCCCAATCGAATTCAACCGATCTAAATACATTGTATTATGATTATTAATTACAAATCCTCATTCTGGTGTTTAACATTTTCGCATTTTCAATTTTTTTCTTTTTCTTTTTGTATTTTTGTATTTTTTAGGAAGCTACAAGGTTATCCTTAGTATCTGGTGATCAAGCAAGTTATGCTCGAAGTATAAGGATATTGGGAGATATTTATAGAAATAAAGCAGAAATTAATGTAAGCTTTTCATTATTATTCTAATTAAATTTTTAAATGTTTTTCAATTAAAAATATTGCATTGAGTGCAATAAGCATGGTTTTTTAAAATATTCAAGGTTTTAATATAAGTTTAACTTTTGTCACATTGAAAGCCACGTACACGTAATTAATGCAAAAATAATTATTAAAATTTTCAAGCGTATTAATTGGGTTTGATTAGCTTTAAAAAAATAATGATCGTTATAATTTATCGAAGTATTACTTTCGCCGAGTATAGGAGAAACTTTTAAAAAAGTTAAAAATATCATTGACATTAGGAAATTGTGGAGATAGAAGTAAAGGAAACAGCATTAATAAATATGAAATACAAAATTGAGTTCAATGACATTTCAATGTTCACATTGACAATGGCTTAAAGTATATTTAACTTAATGAACAGCTTTAAATGAAATGATCGTCAACTATGATTAGCATGCAAACTTCCATATTTAATTGGATGAACAAAATAAGAATATGAGAAAATAACGAGAATTCGATCAAATTTATCAACCAAAGTTTCGTAAAGGAATTTTAAATAGTTATCTCAAAACGTAATTACATTGTTCTATGCGAATAATAAAATTACTCTCTATTTTATGCATAATTGCAATTGATATTGAATTAAAAATATGATTTTATTTCTTAGACTTGAAACTTTGCATTATTAATCGATCGAATTAAATAAACGTCTTAAGAAATAAAGGATTAACGGAAAATTGTTTCTCAAGTATCTAGTAAAAAGGAATGATAACGAACACTAATATAAATACAAATGGGAAAGCATCGTATAGAGTCTCCCTAACTTTCTCCGAAATGGATTCTTCGATTTTAATGGAAAATAATTGCACTGCCATTGAATCGTCGAGCGGGAGCATGAATATTCATGGTTTTGCAGAAGGCATTCCGTCAGTATGAGAGCGCGATGGGTTCGGCCGCTGCTACTGGCGATCGTTTATGCCAGATGGAAGCCATGGATGGTGCCGCGAGATGCCTCGAGGCTCTCAGGCTGCAGCACAAGATATGCAACTGCAAACCCCTTGAATTCAATACGAGACTCCACGAAGTTGCAAGCTCCGTCGGCGCTAAGGTATGACTTTGCACGAAATTTCTTCATCACTTGATGGCATCGATGTGACCTTCCCCCTCCCCTCTCCCTAGCCACTTTGCACGAAATTTCTTCATCACTTGATGGCATCGATGTGACCTTCCCCCTCCATCCATCCATCCATCCATCCATCCATCCATCCATCCATCGTATTGGCTGCTCGGCTTTTCGAGAGGCAATTCCTTAGCGAATTCTTAAAGTCCTAATTCACACTTATTATTGTACACTCTATTATAAACTACGAGACAATTTGCCATTTTCGTACACACAGATATTTCATATATCCTTCGAGATATGCGCTTAGATAATTCAAAATACAGATATTTAAAATTCAATATGTAATTACCTTTTAACCTCTTGATTGATGTTTCTCAAATGACTAGATGTTTTCTTAAATTCCAAGCCTTACGTCGATAAAGTTGTAAAATTATTTTTCTTACTTTTTATTCTCCCTTCCTCTCTGCCTCCCGACCATCCGCACTCTCAAAGGCAAAAATTAGAAAAGTATTGAAATAACGCATTAAATTTATTCGAAAAAATCTACTCATCTTCATGAAAATACGACAATTTATTTAATTATTTCCGAAGCGTCGTCAACGGTTTAAAAATACATTACGGGCCATTAAATCGTCTCAATTTGATTATCTAAATATAGCTTCTTCTTCTCTTCTTATATGAAAAATGCATGTAAATCAATATGCTAAACCCCACCGATTTGTCAACTCTGAAATAATCTGTTAAACATTTTAAATATTACAGCAGAAGAAAATAATTTCAATTTCACAAATAAGTGAAAGTTATTAAGTTTGCCATGTATTTTCGAATTATTAAATAAATCAAGTAGTAATTAGAATTTAAATATATTTTATATAAGCGCGCGCGCGCGCACCCACAAAGACACGTACAGCAATTACTTTTCCAACAATTTGTCTTTGTAAACTCTTAAAAAATTCAACTGTTTTGCATAGTTCATAAACTAGTAAGCAATATCGTACGAAATTTTAGTCTTTTAGATTTCATGGATTTATGCCGTTTAAGTCACAGTACTCCGATATACTGACATTCGTAATTATATATTTAAATGATATACTATGTAAAAGTGTGATATTGTGAGTGAATTTTTATAAGGCTAATTCATTATGTAAATTTTAAAACACTATCATATTAAAATCAACTTAATTTTACATTCACTTCATAATATATAATTGCAAAAGATATTGTTCAGCGAATACGTAAATTTATATAAATAACATGAAACACGTATTGATTGAGAAATAATAATGGATTATTTATTATAGACTTCGGGCACATATAATTAATTCTTTCTTAAAGAATTTTTTTTATCTACACAGTTGCTAATGAGGACGGTGAGATCACGCCTATCGCGAATTTATGGCTCACTTGGCGATGAAGAGCAAAAATCTCATTTCGAGAGGGGGGCGGCATCAATGGAGGAAGATCTCGAATTACGATGTGGTGGTTGCAACGAACCTTTTGGCCTTGAAGCCGATTCTTTAGAAGCACTACCCTGCTCCCATATTTTACATGCGAGGTAAAAAACGAGCGTAAATTATTGTACTTTGTTACGTAATTGCTAATATTAATAATTAGAGTGATCTTATGCCGCTATCTAAGGCATTTCCATTTCAAATAAAAGTATTATATTATTAGTAAAATTGCAACATATGAATAATAAAAGAATGGAACAATATTTCACGTATATTTAGAGTAATTTGAATTGAAATTAAATAAACATTGCTGAATTCTAATTTATCGATAAGTGATGCAAAGGGCGCGTAAGTATAATATAGTTTTATGATAGAATAATTGCACAGGTCGATAAATGGTCATCTAAATGCAAATTTGCTAATAATTTGTAAAATTTTTTTTTTTTTTTTTTTTTTTTGGAATGGCATTCGAGTATGATATTATAGTTTTATAGCGAAGTCTTTAAATTTAAAAATTAATTCTTCTATTTGGAAATTTAACTATATTTTTCGCGTAAAATTTTTTTATAAATAAATATATTGTAATTAGTTAATTTTGCTCTAGTCTATCGAAAATACCCACACACGTACTTTCGTCCGAGTGATAAAGCAAATGATAAACTACACTTATGATCGAATTGCATTCGGAAGATTAAGGATAGAAGCGTAGATTCTTTGAATGAAATGTCAATGAATGAAATTACGGGACAGAAAAATCAACGAGATCGGCTACATTAAGCATAAAAGGTTCGTTGAAATATTTGGGAAGAACGTATATGCAGTGTAGCAAGGTCGATTGATTAATCTCGATTAAATTCCTCGAACGTTACATGAAAAACGAAAGTCGCGCGATCTACGACGTTCGATAAGCCTCCATTAACCGACGATAATACAGCTTTAAACTTTGTTCAATTCAACAGGTGTGCATACGACATCCTAAAGAAGCGCGATAAGAAGAAGAAGCGTTTATGTCCGGACTGCCACAAATCGGTGAGCTCGCGACTCTATCTTCATTGCGACGATACTCATGACATCAATCCTCTTAATCACAGTTCCTTAAGTCTGGCATCGCTTAGGGCCAGTAGTCTGGCGACCCTTGAAGATTGTCACGCGACAAGTAGCGTTTAGTGCACTATATCATTTATCCGTGAGGCTATTCATTGATAAGGGACTTTTTCTTTAATAGATTAATTAGAAGAATGTACGGAGGCTGCTGCGTACTTGTGCTATCGGCAAATATCGTGACTCTTGATTTACGAGCTTCGTTTAGGGAACTTTGGTGGTGCGCGTTATTATGAGGATAAGCGAATATTGTCGATTTTCAACTACATCGCGAGATGGAAAATGGCGTTTAATCATCACAATTATCCAAGTAGCCTCACGACATTCTACTTCATTTATAACGTTATAATTTTTTTTTTCTTTTTTATGGGATTCTAAGTTTTAGTTTCATAAAATTCCATAGATAATCTACACTGTGTAATTAATAATAAACAAATTCGTGATATTTAAATGATGTATTAAGTAGGATAGTTTTCTCGTTGAAGCACTTCTATCTTATATAATATAAGCATTTATCTTACTTACACTTAAATCCAATACTTATTAGATAAAAATCCAACAATGGTACTATCATTTCAAAAATTCATACAAAAAATGACCATCCTGCACAAACTCTATTACAATAATTTCGTATTTATTGGATATTACGCATACGATTTAGTATAAATTGATAGATAAATCATAATCGTTTAGAGAAAATGAAACGTGAAAACCATTAAACATCGAAAACTTAATACATTCATTAGCAATGTTTTACTCGACATTTAAAAGTACGTAATTATTGTATCATTTATCAAATTATTTTTAGTCCATAAAAAAGTAGTTTTCTATAAGTTTTACGTACGACTATGCCAGCACATCGATGTGCCAATAAAAATACAAATAATTCTGCCAAAATTACAAGAAAAGAAATTTTTTTTTCAATCCATGAATTACAAGTACGGGATTGCCTCAACACTGTTACTTGTATTGTTCATCGTTAAAAACAAAATGTTTAATAATTGTTATTTGTTGTTTAAACGGTTTATATATTATACTATAATAGCCAGAAGTTTATCACTTACATTTTTAGCTTAGTATCTAAAAAAATTATTTTGCTCAATAATAGCACTGAAAAATGTGTTTTAAAATTTATATAAAAATTGACTATTTTGTTTTTGTAAAGATAAATTTAACTTAACTTATTGGCATACAATTTAATAATAATAAATAGTCAATTAACAAATTAATTTTGAATGACGCTGAAAAAATGAAGATTATGAAACTGTGGAAACATAAGCCATCGTAATACCTCTATTAAACAAATATAAGATATAGAAATGAAATACAAGACAATTTAAATAATTTAAAAGATAATTTAATTTGTCGAGAATTCAAATTGACAACTTTTCGTTTGTTTTATTTTCTCTCAATTGATACTGAATAAGAATCGAGTAAAATTATCTAATATATAATCATAATGTGCTTACTGATAAAACCTTAAATTGACAGTTTCAATTATATTCATCTATACAATTTAATATTTATATATTTAATATTTTTATTAACATATGAGCTACTAAGTGCTCAGTAACGGTATTTTAAATACATTTTTGTTTTATATTAAAATACGAAGACGATCATATCGACGAATTTATACCTCACCATCGACACAGACATTCTACAAAAATATATGTATAAATGTATGATGTAAGGTGTGCGCAAACTAACACAAGAGTATCTTCTACGTAGATGTATATAAATATTTTTTACACAAACAAAACGAAAATGGCTAAAAGATTCAGAAGTAGTAGATGCAGGAGTGTGAATGTAGAAATGAATAAAAAGCGGAAATATGAAAAAAGAAGAGGGAGGAAATGAAAGGGAGAGAGAGAGAGAGAGAGAGAGAGAGAGAGAGAGAGAGGAAAGGAATGAGAGCAGAGTTTCTGGAAAGAATATTTAAATAGTCAAATATGTAAATTATGTACTTGAAGAGTTGAAAATGAAATCACAGACGTTGAAAATAATGTTAATTATATGAAAAACGTAAAAAAAAAAAATAAAATGTCATATTTCCCGTCCAAGTCATAGGCATCTTGTTGTTAAAGGTTTTAAAAGAAAATTATCGATGCAATAAAATATAAAATTTGTAGAAAAGTGAATGAAAAAATTTAGATGAGATGGTCGCTTTTAATTTACATAAAACAAACCTAAATAAAATTCACAAAATTATTATTAATAATTACTTGCTAATAATGTCGACCACATATTTTTGCAGTTGTAAACAATCTAATCTAAAAACTTATTTTTATGCCTTTTTATTGAGTTACGATTAAAAGTGCCCATCTTTCGAATTGAAAATAAAATATAAAAATAATTCTGAATAGTTATGTAGGAAAATTTTAATAATTCTCATAAATGTATATTATATGGTAAACGTATTTTCCGGTAAATGATTTTTGAGAAAACCGCCAATATCATTATACGATTGAAAATAGTGTTTCACGTCATCTAGAGAATTTTTTAAATTAAAGTTTTCCAAAATTTGGCGATCGCTTGCTTTCATATATTATGTTAATAATTTGTAAATTTCTAATAATCTTACTAAATTCGATTCCCAGTTATATATCATTAAAAGTAATTCTTCAAAAGTAATTGTGAAAATTAAACGAAATTTATTACATTATAATTAATTTCATACGAGCTTGTCATTACAAATTTATTTATTACTCTACAAAAAATTTTAGTAGTAAATTCTTAACAATTCCTATTACGTACATGCATTATTGATTTTATGAAACTATTGACGTTTAAAGATAAAAATATGTTTATGATAAAAAATTTGAAATATGAATTAAATGTTAAAAACTTCAGTGTACAATTTAACATATTTTGAACAACAATAAAGCTTAGAAGTAACCGTTTTGACGTGAAAATATTTAAAACATGTGCCATAAATCGAGGACATGTAGTATTTTACTGTAATGAATGCCAAATACAAAAAATAGAAGAATAAAACTTTAAAGGTAATCTGGTTAGGAAGTTTAACCAATTATGTATAGTAATGAAACTTCAAACAAAAAACAAAAAAAAAAAAAAAACCGTATATACGAAAAAATTAATAATATCACAACCATAAAACTGTTGAGTAAACATATAAAATAAAAAAATAATTAATTCGACGTTGTAAGGACTTGTATGTCGACAGGCTATTTCCAAGAAAGTATAAAAATATAATTATATTAATAAATAAATATCGAAACAAGTTCTGCGTCTTCTTTACAGTGATGCTTAAACATTGTAGTGCCTACATCGGAA